CCCGCGCTCGCGGTGTCGGCCCGGCCACGCCGCGCTAGCTGCGCCGTCCCCGCCGGCCTGCCCCCCTCCACATCCCTGCGCAATGGTACGCGCCCGCGCCGCCGGAACTGGCGGAGCCGTTGCCCTGGAAACCGAGCTCTGCCCTAGGCCGCCGAGGCTTAACCCCTTGGGCGCCGGGAGCGGCTGCCACTGCGGGCTCCCCTGCGCTCGACACTCCACGCCCGCCCCCTTGGCGTTTCCCCGCGCTAGCTGCGCCGTCCCCGCCGGCCTGCCCCCCTCCACATCCCTGCGCAATGGTACGCGCCCGCGCCGCCGGAACTGGCGGAGCCGTTGCCCTGGAAACCGAGCTCTGCCCTAGGCCGCCGAGGCTTAACCCCTTGGGCGCCGGGAGCGGCTGCCAGTGCGCGCTCCCCTGCGCTCGACACTCCACGCCCGCTCCCTTGGCTTTCCTCCTCCCACTGCTATACTTCACCATCTCCGTCCAGCCTGCCTGCCTTCAGGATCTTTGCTGTCCTTTTAACCATCTCTTACCACACCCCTGTGCCAGCGACGGGCGGCCTTCCCACCATCCCTTTCTCTCCGGTCTTGGGTCTTGAGTAGCGGGAAGAAAACTGGTTTTAGTACACTGAGTTTTACACTTACCTGCCCTAGTCCTCGTTCTAGAATTTTCTAGGATTATCCTGCCTTCTAAAATCTGGTTGTTTCCAAACACCCCTGTGAGTGGATTTCGCTGACTACTTTATGTGTCAAACTCCCCCCCGTCCCCCCCCCCCCCCCCATCAACCTGCTTCCTGCTGGTTAGGGGTAGCCTTACCCACTTCTCATCAGCCTCTTAGACTGCAGATTGCATGACCCAATGCACGGATCGTCAGTACATCCGTATGTGCTGATACACACTGCTCAGGAAAACAACGAGTGTTAGATCAAAGATGCTTCAGCAGATGTCTTTTGCTTTATGAACTGCTTTATGGAACCAGGGTAATGCTCTGTTCTAGAATGTAGCCTGGGGTCTTAAATGCCCACATGGACGGTAGGAAGTTGTGAGTTCACACATCTGGGTACAAGCTGATTTATCTTTTGGGAAAAAAAGGTGATTTCCTCGATTTCTTTGGGAACCTAAACAAGATTTTGACCGTGTTCCAAATTCAGGATATGATATTATTAGCTTTGAGCCACTGCTTCTCCCCTCAAATGACCAATATTAGACCCAAGTTCTTACAGATTCACTAGTAGATCACCTCACTAGTAGATCCCACCCACTCCTTCCCAAATCAGGAAATGCAGAGGCAAAAATTCTTGCAAGCTTGTTATGTCAGCCACATTTCACGTCTTGTGAGGCCCATAGACTTTTATGGCCTTCCGGGAATAGCAGACTACGTTGTTAATCACCAAATGATTCCTGAGTGGACCTAAACTTAGACTCTTCTGGGGGCATCTGGGTTATATTCTGCTTAAACTAGACGAAAGTCAACTTTCTAAGAAAAAATTCTTTTTCTTTTTTTTTTGAGACTCGTCTCCCAGTAGCCCCAGCTGGCCAGAACTCTTCTATGTAGACCAGGCTGGTCTCTCAGTCTCACAGAGATCTGCCTGTGTCTCCCTCTTGAGTGCTGGGATCAGAGATGTGTTCTGCCACACCCAACCTAGAATTCTTTAATTTTTTAAACATTTATTTGTGCGTGTGTGTGTCTGTGTGTGAATATATGTGCATGCCTGCCACAGCACATATGTGGGGATCAGAGAACCTGAGGGAGTTAGTTCTCTTTGTCCACCATCTGGATCCTGGAGATTGAACTCAGGTTGTCAGGCTTGGCAGTAAGCACCTTTACCCACTGAGCTACCTCTTTAGCAAACCCCGCCCCTGCAAAATTTTTTTTGGTCTTTTTGAGACAGGGTCTCCCTGTAGCCCCAGCTGTCCTGGAACTCACTATGTAGACCAGGCTGGCCTTGAACTCACAGAGATCTGCCTGCCTCTGCCTCCTGAGTGCTGGGATTAAAGACAGGAGCTACCACGTCTGGCACTGCACCCCTAAAAATATTTAAAAATATTTTATTATTTTTATTTTATGTGTATAAGTGTATTGCTTGCATGTATATAAGTGCATCTGTGTTGTATAATGCCCAAGGAGGTCAGAAGGAGACGTCACATTCCCTGGAGCTGAAGTTATGAATGGTTGTTAACTCAAACCCGAGTCCTCTGCAAGAGCAGTCAGTGCTCTTAACTGCTGAGCCGTCTCTCCAGCCCCCTCAAAAATTTTACTAAATTTTATTTCTCTGTGTGCATACCATGGTACACATGCAGAAGCCAGAGAACAGTTTTTAGAAGTTGGTTTTGTCCTTCCACCATGTGGGTCCTAGGGATTGAACTCTGGTCATCAGAGTTGGCAGCAAGCACCTTTACCCAGTGAACCATCTTGTCAGCCCGTAAAGTCAAATTTAAAATAATTTTTTCTCTTCGACATTTTTTTTTATTTTGGTCACCTTCCCCCATTACGCTCTGTCTTCTCCTTCCCATTCTTTCCAAGTCTTATTCTTCCCAAGAAGTTGCCCTCCTTCCTTCATGTCTTTTTAGTTGATTATTTGCTGAGTTTAATTAAAGTTGCTTGCATGAGCATAGGTGGGGTCATTCATTGGAGCATGGTCAAAATCATCACTTTAAAAAATATTTTATATTTTTATCGTATTTATTATTTTATGACTGTATTGCCTGCTTGTGTGGTAAGTGCACCTGTGTGTGCAGTGCCCGCAGAGGTCAGAAGAGGGTGTTGGATCCCCTGAAACTGGAGTTGTGGATGGTTGTTAGCTGCTGTGTAGGTGCTGGAAATCGAATCTAGGTGCTCTGCAAGAGAAGCCAGTGCTCTTAAATGTAGATACACCTCTCCAGCCCCTACATTTTTTTAAGACTGGGTTTCACTATTATGTAGCTCTGGCTGGCCTGGAACTCACAGAGATCCACCTGCCTCTGCCTCCCAAGTGTAGGAATTAAGGACATGTTCTACCATGTTGAACTTTTTAAAGATTTATTTTTATTTGTGTATGTGTGTGTGTCTGTGTGAATATGTGCTGCGTGTGTGTAAGTACCCGGGGATGCCAGAAGAGAGTGTGGGATCCTCTGGAACTGGAGTTAGAAGCAGTTGCGAGCCACCTGATGTGGGTCCTGGGAACCGAACCCCAGTCCTCTGAAGAGCGGCAGTGCTCTTAGCCACTAAGCCATCTCTCCAGTCCTGTTATGACATTTTGATGTCTGATGTCTGGGTGTAGGTGTGTTTGCATGTATGTTTTCTGAAGCACCTTAGAGCACCTTCCCCTTGGCTTTTCTTTTTTCTTTTCTTTCCTTTCTTTCCTTCTGGATGGTCTGAACTCACCATGTAGCCAAAGTTGGCTTTAAAATTGTGGCAGTCCTGCTGCCTCAGCTTTCCAGATGCTGGAATATAGGGGTGTGAGAGACACCACACTCTACTGCCTTAACCCTACTTCACACAAGACAGAGTGCTAGACCACATGTGCTTGGGGGGCTGGGCGGGGCTGGTCACAGAAAAGCCTGACCTATAGAGTATGAAGTTAGAGCTTTTTTTTTTTTTTTTTTTCCTAGAAAGATCATCAAATTCAGAACTCTCAATCAGAAGTGCCTGGAAGGATCTGGAAGTTGGCTACCAAGTCCTACTTCTAGAAAAACTTTTTCTTGAGTTTAACTCTAGAAATTTACCAGTATACAGCTTTTCATTTAATATATTCAATTATAAGTAACAAGAACTTTCAGCAATATGATTAATTTCCCACTCAAAAAATAGGAAGATGGGGCTGGAGAGATGGCTCAGCAGTTAAGAACACTGGTTGTTCTTGCAGAAGACCTGGGTTCGAATCCCAGCACCCACATGGCAGCTGTACAACTGTCAGTAACTCCAGTTCCAGGGGACCTGACAGCATATTCTGTCCTCCACGGGCATTGCACAACACGGGTGCACTTACCTACACACAGGCAATACATGATACACATAAAATAAAAATAAAATATTTTTAAAAATAGGAAGCTATAGCAGGCAGGAACATCTCAGGAAGTCCGTACAGGTGGGACTAGAAGGGCAGCACTAAATGAGTGCTGTGCTGAGTCACTGGTGGCTTATTTTGGCACTGTGGAAATGACTTCCCTTTCTGGGTCTCAATTTCCTTATCTAACATGATGGTGGTTTGGCCAGGAAATCTTCAGACACCTCCCAGTAGTAACTCAGACCAGAGCCCAGATCCAGCTTCTCTGTCCCCTGAACTCTGGGATTATACATTGTTTTCAATGCAGACATCAGATGAAGCCAGATCTGGTGGTGGCACACACCTGTAATCTCTAAACTACTATGGAAGCTGAGGCAGGAGGATCCAAAGTTCAGGTCCCTCTGGCCTGGGGAGCAAGATCATCCTGTGCAACTGAGCAAGACCCTTGTCTGTGGTGGCTAATCTTGGTGTCAACTTGACACACCTGGAAAGAAGGAACCTCAACTAAAGAATTTCCTCCATTGTATTGGCTTGTAACTGTCTCTGTGGGGATGTTTTCTTGATTGCTAGTTTGTGGAGAGCCCAGCCCACTGTGGGCAACACCATCCTTAGGCAGGTAGGTCTGGGCTATATGAGAAAAGTGAGCCAGGGAGAGAGCAAGCCAGTAGACAGTGTTTCTCCATTGTCTCTACTCCAGTTTCTGGTTCAAGTGCCTGCCTTGACTTCCAGCCTTGATGATGGACTATAACATAAAAGCCAAATAAACTCTTTCCTCCTCAGGTTGT